ATAGCAACTACTAAGAACACCCCAGCAACCGCATAGCAACTACAGAACACCCCAGCAACCGCATAACAACTACTCAGAACACCCCAGCAACTGCATAACAACTACTCAGAACACCCCAGCAACCGCATAGCAACTACTAAGAACACCCCAGCAACCGCATAGCAACTACTTAGAACACCCCAGCAATTGCATAGCAACTACTTGGAACACCCTAGCAACCTCATAGCAACTACTTAGAACACCCAGCAACCACATAGCAACTACTAAGAACACCCCAGCAACCACATAGCAACTACTTGGACCACCCAGCAACCGAATAGCAACTACTAAGAACACCCAAGCATCCGCATAGCAACTACTCCGAACACTCCTGCAACCGCATAGCAACTACTTACAACACCCTGGCAACCATTCATTAAACTGAACAAATCACATTCCAGGTCATTTCAATCTGAATTCAGTTCCGCTTGTTTGTTAAATGTGAATCAGGAAGAATGATTGAGATACAGACTAATCAATAGCAACTACTCCGAACACTCCTGCAACCGCATAGCAACTACTTACAACACCCTGGCAACCATTCATTAAACTGAACAAATCACATTCCAGGTCATTTCAATCTGAATTCAGTTCCGCTTGTTTGTTAAATGTGAATCAGGAAGAATGATTGAGATACAGACTAATCAGATCATGTGATCTAGAGAGAAACTGATGAGAGAAGTCTGAGTTTTGACTTTCGATTGCAAACTCTGGAAGCTTTCCATTTAATCTCATTCTTGATTTTTCACACTTTGTGTTTTTTAGGTTGATGTGAAGTTTAGACAAAATGTCTTTAGGTTATTTTGTGTTCTTATTCTCACAATATGTCAATGCTCTGAATGTCATGAAACGTCTCTGGAGAGGGAGATTTGAGTCTGAAACAGAGTTGAAGTGTGTGAGAGAGACAGAAAGCAGAAGTGACATATCTCCTCCGATCACACTGTTTCCTCTCGCAGTTACACAGCGGAAGACGCCACTTCCTCAAAAAGACACAACACGCTCCTCGCAAACACCTCAGACTGCGCGACGTAGGTAAACACACGTCTGCGTCCGTCTGTGCTCCGCAGCCATCAGGATGGAGGCGTTCAGTTCGAAGGACATGGCCATGAAGGCCCAGAAGAAGATCCTCAGTCACATGGCCAGTAAGTCAGTGGCTCATATGTTCATCGATGACAACAGCAGCGAGGTTCTGGACGAGCTGTACCGCGTCTCCAAGGAGCACACGGGGAACCGCAACGAGGCCCAGAAGGTGGTGAAGAACATGATCAAGATCGCCGTGAAGGTGGGGGTTCTGTTCCGACATGGCAAGTTCAGCGCGGATGAGCTGAGTGTGGCGCAGGACTTCAGGAAAAAACTCCACCACGGAGCCATGACGGCCATCAGCTTCCAGGAGGTACAAACACTCGCATTCATCAGTCATATTTACATGCTAACGGTGTATTAAAAGACTATGAGCAGTAGCAGTGCTACTGCTGATTGTCTTAAAGTTCAGTGTGTGCATCGTCCTGCAGCGTTTGTGGTGTCATTTCACACCAGCCAGGAAGAAACCACTTAGAAACCATCAACAGTAACCTAGCGGCCACATAGCGACTACTCAGAACACCCCAGGAACAGCATAGCAACTACATAGAACACTATAGAAACCACTCAGAGCACCCTAGCAGCTACATAGCAACTATTTATAACACCCTAGCAACCACCCAGAACACCCTAGCAACTGGGTGTTCTAAGTCGCAACCGCATAACAACTACTCAGAACACCTCAGAAACTGCATAGCAACTACAAAGAATATCATAGCAACCACTCAGAGCCCCCTAGCAACCACCCAGAACACCCTAGCAACTGGGTGTTCTAAGTCGCAACCGCATAACAACTACTCAGAACACCTCAGAAACTGCATAGCAACTACAAAGAATATCATAGCAACCACTCAGAGCCCCCTAGCAACCACACAGTGACTACTCATAACACCCTAGCAACCACATAGCAACCACCCAGAACACCCTAGCAACTGGGTGTTCCAAGTAGCAACCGCATAACAACTACTCAGAACACCCCAGAAACTGCATAGCAACTACAAAGAATACCATAGCAACCACTCAGAGCACCCTAGCAACTACTTAGAACACCCTAGCAACCACATAACAACCACGCAGAACACCCAAGCAACTGAAAAATGTCTACCTCTCTCATGTCATGTCTCTCATCTTGAACATTATTTTTTGCATCTTCAGCTTATGGAAGCCCATTTCCGCCACTGAATAAAATAAATAAATAAATAAAGATAATTGCAACTTTTTATCTCACAATTCTGACTTTTTTCTCAGAATTGCGTGATACAAACTCGCAATTCTGCCTCCCCCCATACGAATTGTGAGATATAAACCAGCAATTCTGAGAACATATTCTTTTTTTTCTTCTCAGAACTGGACTGTATAACTCGCAATTGTAAGTTTATATCTAACAATACAGAGAAAAAAGTCAGAATTGCAAAAGGTAAACGAATGGCTAAAAGCATGAATGTGACTGTGTAATGAGGAGCGTGCGTGTCTGTGCGTCAGGTGGAGTTCACCTTTGATAAGAGCGTGATGATGGAGCTGCTGGCCGACTGTCGAGACTTACTGCTGAAGCTGGTGGAGAAGCACCTGACGCCCAAGTCTCTGGACCGCATCAGACACGTGTTCAACCATTACTCGGACCCGGAGCTGCTCACGCACCTGTACGACCCGCAGGGCACGCTGTGGCCCAACCTCGGCAAGATCTGCAGCGGCCTGAACCGCATGATCGAGGAGGGCAAGCTCTGAACACAGAGCTGGACTGAAAGACTGGACTTCAGAGCTTCTGGACCTGAGCTCAGAGACGCTCCTGAACGCATCCCTCGAGTCTGTTCGGGCGATTCGCTCTAAACATGTCAAAAACACGTGCGGCTCATATTTCAAAACAACTCAGAAGGAAGATTTAAAGAGACAGTGCACCCAAAAATCAGCATTCTGTCATCGTTTACTTCTCAGCTAACAGGGAACGTTCTAGCAACGTTATTAGAACGTTCGTGCAATGTTTTCTGATCTTTAATAACCTTCTCAAAGCCAAAGCGTTATTTATACATCATTCATGGAACTTTTTTTAAACGTTACTAGTTTGAGATGGTTCAGAGAACATTCAAAACTAATGTTATGATGTTTACAAAATGTTTTTTTTTTTCGTTTTTTAAATACGGGAAGGTTCAGAAAACATTTGCTCACAGGGAATGTTAGCAAAACGTTCTTGAACCTATTTTTCTTAGCTGGGTTTCTTCTGTTGAACACAAAATAAGATATTCTTTCAAAAAAAAAAAAGAAAGTAAATGGAGTCCAATAAAATACATTTAATGTTCAACAGTCATACAGTTTTGGAACAAATATAAGATGGCAGAATGATGGTTTTTGGGTGAACAATCTCAATCTCAAAAGTTTTGCATAAAGAAAATGTATTCATTTTAATATGATTAGGTTTTTGTTTTTAACATTATTTTCACCCGTGAAAATGACCAAAATAGAATTTATGCAACACTGGAGTTTATGCACAGTTCTACAGTATTCACCAGTAAAATAATTCATTACGGGTTTCCGGTTTTGTTCAAAAGCAGCAGTATTAGAGTTGAAAACAGAATGGGGCATCTGAATGGATTAAAGCTTAATAATAAAGTATGGTTTTGTTTCAGATATTCTCTACAGAAGCCTTTTGTTCATCTGGTCTATCTTTTTTGGCACCGTTCTGACGGCACCCATTCACTGCAGAGCATCCATTGCTGAGACACTGATGCAGTGCTACATTTCTCCAACCCTGATGAAGAAACAAACTCATCCTGATCTGGGATGGTCTGCGGGTGAGGAAATATTCAGCAGATTTTCATTTTTGGCTGAACTGTTCCTTTAACATTACCAAGAAAATGCATTGAGAAAGTGAACTTATTTTATATCGACTTTAAATAACAGATTTCTGCACGTTTAATATGATCACACATTTGCTTTGGAAGATAAATACTGAAATAAGAGACAAAAACTATTGAATTCTTTATTGCCATTTCTGGACTGAAAACCCTAGAAAAATACAAAATGAGAAATCAGAAAATGAAAAGCTGAGAGCCAGTGCTGGTGATGTGAACAGAAACCAACAGCTGAATCGGTCCTCCAGAGTCCGTTAACGAAGCTTTGAATCACTGAACATGCTTCAGTTGACACCTGTACAGTAACACTTCACAATACCGTCTCATTTGTTCACATTATTTAATAGATTAGCTAACATGAGCAATATATACAGTATATATTTTAGTGCTGTCAAACGATTAATCGCGATTAATCGCATCCAAAATAAAAGTTTTTGTTTGCATAATATATGTGTACTGTGTTTATTTATTATGTATATATAAATACACACACATGCATGTATATATTTAAGAAAAATATGTTACGTTTATATTTATATGAATGTAAATATATACATGTAAATATTTTCCAAATATATGCTGTATGTGCGTTTATATATACACATAATAAATACAGTACACACATACTATTCGAACAAAAACTTTTATTTTGGATGCGATTAATCGCGATTAATCGTTTGACAGCACTAATATATATATATTTTTTTTTCTAGCATTTATTAATCTATGCATTAGTGAATGCACTGTATTAGAAAATACTGAAATTAACAAATAAATGCAGTACAAGTATATTTCATTTGTTAGTTCATGTTAACTAATGCTGACAAATTAAACCTTATTGTAAAGTGCTCATTCTGACAATTTTGGATCACAACTTTAGCTAAATTTAGCAACAACAACAACAAACACAGTCAGACCTGAGTGATGTGGATTGAAACACTCAAAAGCAGTCATTAGCACGCGTTTAGGTGGCGACTACGCTGTGTTTGACGATGGCTTTCGGTCGTGTGCTCTTGGCGGCCGCTGCCGGCGAAACGCTAAAGTCACGGTTTCCGCTGAAGTTTCCAGAAGCGTTGGGAAAACCGTGCGCCGCGATGTATTTCTGGTGAGCCTCGCGGATGGTCCGGAAGGCTCGGGCGTTGGCGTAGGGGATGTCCGTCACGGGGTCGCGATACAGCGCGGGTTTATGGGTAACAGGACACACCTTCTGAACAGGCTGGGCGGGGCTGGAGCGAGCCGATGCCGGGAAGGCGGAGCTAAATGTCTGATCGTCACTGAAGGTGATGTATGTGCGAGAGCACAGAGACCCCGCCCCCTGGGCAGAGGATGAGGAAGTGGGCGTGGCTTGGGGCGTGTCCTGGTCCAGCCTATAACAGGAGATGAGAAAGTCTATCATGCATCTTGTTATAATCATTGAATATTAGTGCTGTCAAACAATTAATCGCGATTAATCGCATCGAAAATAAACGTTTTTGTTTACATACTATATGAGTGTGAGCTGTGTGTATTTATTAAGAATATATAAATACACACACACATGCATGTATATATATATATATTTAAGAAAAATGTTTGTTTATATATTAAAGATATATATAATATAAAATATAATAGTGCTGTCAAACGATTAATCGCATCCAAAATAAAAGTTTGTTTACATAATATATATGTGTGTACTGTGTATATTTATTATGTATATATAAATACACACACACATGCATGTATATATTTAATAAAAATATGTTATGTTTATATAATATATTTATATATGATATAATTTATATGAATATAAATATATACGTGTAAATACATGTAAATATTTTCTAAATATATGCTATAAGTGTTTGTCTTTATATATACACATAATAAATATACACAGTACACATACATATATTATGTAAACAAAAACTTCTTTTGGATGCGATTAATCGCGATTAATCGTTTAACAGCACTATTGACTACGTTTACATGGACAACAGTAATCTAATTATTTATCTTATTCGGAATAAGACAATATTATGATTAAGGTGTTTACATGAGTAAATGTTAGAATAATGTTCTCGTTTTAAACGCTATAGTGCATAGATGGATTAATGGCACACGTCATTACGTCACCACGCGACGCCATCCGACGTCCAACCCGGGATTTCATGTTGACTGTCGCAAAACGCAGTGAAAAGTCCTATGGGATGGTAATAGTGTGATTAGGGTGTTTACATGTCTATACTGCACTTCAATAATGCAATTACACAGGAATACTCCACATGTTTTAATTCGATTTGTGTTTACTTCGAGTATGACTTTAGCCGGATTAAGGTCATCAAAAATCCCTGTTTAGATGGTAGATTCATCAGAATACTGTTGTCCATGTAAACGTACTCATTGCTATTGTTAACTAAATCTAATGAAATGTTGTAAAATGAAGCAAAGCTGAAATAAAATTAAAAATTAAAATAAATGGAAATTAGAAATGCATTGGCAACTACCTGAAATAAATGACACACACCATTAGTTTTACATAGTTATACACACGAAGCTGACATGGCAAAATTACTGAAACTGAAAACTAAAACAGAAATAGATATACATTTCAGTTATTAATTCTAATTTGTTTAAAAAAAATAAAAAAAGTTCATTAAAAATGAAAAAAATAAAATAAAATGAAAATATTAAAATAAAAGCTCATTCTAAATGAATTATTAATTCAATACTATTTAATTATTAAAAATATAAAAATATATTTATAAAACATAATAAATTAAATAATACTAATAAGCAGCAAACACGGATTTACAGTATATTTGTTATTAAGTGAGTGTTTCACTCAAATGAAAAATTATTAATAGAATTTCCAAAGACGTGAACTCATAAAAGTTTAAGTCAGCATGAAATGTAAAATAACTCTATACTCCAAATTCATGTGCATTTCTGTTTCTTTTCTTTTTGTATGTTATATATAATGTCTATATTTCCCTATTATTTACTATTTTTACTATCTTTAATTACTAAAATTAAAAAGGAATTGTCCCTAGCTCAATTTAATAGTCAAAATGTTTTTACATACTACCTAACAGTACTTATTTTAAACATACTTAATTTGAGAAGTTTTAGAAGTACAAATATACTATTCAGTTTCTGTCCATCTATCTTAGCTCAGAGTTTCACAAACTAGGGTTTGTGAGTTGATAAAAAAGCTAGTTATTAGCTAAATAAGAAAATAAACAAAACACTTAACTAAAATGATTCCAGCTTTTCAGGAACAAGTTATTGTTTTACAGTAATAGCAATTTAGCATAACAAACCAGTTCCATCGAACCTCACCTATTATTATTATTAATTACAGTTCATTATGTATAAAAGTACCCTTCCACATCCACGTTCTCCTCCTTCGTGTGAGCGTCTGGTTTACATAATATATATGTGTGTACTGTGTATATTTATTATGTATATATAAATACACACACACATGCATGTATATATTTAATAAAAATATGTTATGTTTATATAATATATTTATATATGATATAATTTATATGAATATAAATATATACGTGTAAATACATGTAAATATTTTCTAAATATATGCTATAAGTGTTTGTCTTTATATATACACATAATAAATATACACAGTACACATACATATATTATGTAAACAAAAACTTCTTTTGGATGCGATTAATCGCGATTAATCGTTTAACAGCACTATTGACTACGTTTACATGGACAACAGTAATCTAATTATTTATCTTATTCGGAATAAGACAATATTATGATTAAGGTGTTTACATGAGTAAATGTTAGAATAATGTTCTCGTTTTAAACGCTATAGTGCATAGATGGATTAATGGCACACGTCATTACGTCACCACGCGACGCCATCCGACGTCCAACCCGGGATTTCATGTTGACTGTCGCAAAACGCAGTGAAAAGTCCTATGGGATGGTAATAGTGTGATTAGGGTGTTTACATGTCTATACTGCACTTCAATAATGCAATTACACAGGAATACTCCACATGTTTTAATTCGATTTGTGTTTACTTCGAGTATGACTTTAGCCGGATTAAGGTCATCAAAAATCCCTGTTTAGATGGTAGATTCATCAGAATACTGTTGTCCATGTAAACGTACTCATTGCTATTGTTAACTAAATCTAATGAAATGTTGTAAAATGAAGCAAAGCTGAAATAAAATTAAAAATTAAAATAAATGGAAATTAGAAATGCATTGGCAACTACCTGAAATAAATGACACACACCATTAGTTTTACATAGTTATACACACGAAGCTGACATGGCAAAATTACTGAAACTGAAAACTAAAACAGAAATAGATATACATTTCAGTTATTAATTCTAATTTGTTTAAAAAAAATAAAAAAGTTCATTAAAAATGAAAAAAATAAAATAAAATGAAAATATTAAAATAAAAGCTCATTCTAAATGAATTATTAATTCAATACTATTTAATTATTAAAAATATAAAAATATATTTATAAAACATAATAAATTAAATAATACTAATAAGCAGCAAACACGGATTTACAGTATATTTGTTATTAAGTGAGTGTTTCACTCAAATGAAAAATTATTAATAGAATTTCCAAAGACGTGAACTCATAAAAGTTTAAGTCAGCATGAAATGTAAAATAACTCTATACTCCAAATTCATGTGCATTTCTGTTTCTTTTCTTTTTGTATGTTATATATAATGTCTATATTTCCCTATTATTTACTATTTTTACTATCTTTAATTACTAAAATTAAAAAGGAATTGTCCCTAGCTCAATTTAATAGTCAAAATGTTTTTACATACTACCTAACAGTACTTATTTTAAACATACTTAATTTGAGAAGTTTTAGAAGTACAAATATACTATTCAGTTTCTGTCCATCTATCTTAGCTCAGAGTTTCACAAACTAGGGTTTGTGAGTTGATAAAAAAGCTAGTTATTAGCTAAATAAGAAAATAAACAAAACACTTAACTAAAATGATTCCAGCTTTTCAGGAACAAGTTATTGTTTTACAGTAATAGCAATTTAGCATAACAAACCAGTTCCATCGAACCTCACCTATTATTATTATTAATTACAGTTCATTATGTATAAAAGTACCCTTCCACATCCACGTTCTCCTCCTTCGTGTGAGCGTCTGGGACCAGCAGCATCAGCACTGAATGATAGCGGATGCTCGGCCCTTCAAAGCGTCTCTTCTTATGAACCTGCTTCTTCTTATCAGCCTCTAAACGCTCGTATTTTTCTGAAAACACACACACTGTAATGTGAACACACACTCATAATTAAATACTGGTGTTATTCCTGAAATCTGGAAATCAGCTTTTGTTGTTCCTTTATTAAAAGGGGGTCAGATCCAGTGGCTTCGTAAGAAGCATTTCAAGGTCCTGGAGTGGTCCAAGGTCCTAGCCAGTCTCCAGATCTCAACCCCATAGAAAATCTTTGGAGGGAGTTGAAAATCCGTGTTGCCCAGTGACAGCCCCAAAACATTACTGCTCTTGAGGAATGGGCCAAAATACCAGCAACAGTGTGTGACAACCTTGTGAAGACTTACAGAAAACGTTTGACGTCTGTCATTGCCAACAAAGGGTATATTATAACAAAGTATTGAGATGAAATTTTGTTATTGACCAAATACTTGTTTTCCACCATAATTTGCAAATAAATTCTTTAAAAATCCTACAATGTGATTTTCTGGATTTTTTTTCTCATTTTGTCTCTCATAGTTGAGGTATACCTATGATGAAAATTACAGGCCTCTCTCATCTTTTTAAGTGGGAGAACTTGCACAATTGGTGGCTGACTAAATACTTTTTTGCCCCACTGTATATTAGATAATTACAGACAAATTTTCAACGCTCTGTGTTTTATCAAAAATTTTAGAAAGCCTTATTAGTGAACAGTTGACTTCTTATTTGAATGCAAACAAAGTGTTTTCATAAAAAACATAGTACTGTAACAGCTGTTTTGAACGTTTTAAATTATATTGTGGGATCGATTGATAATGGTGATTTTTGTGCTTCCCTTTTTATTGATTTATCAAAGGCTTTCGATACAGTGGATCATGAAATATTGTTGCATAGATTGAAGAGTGTTGGTTTATCAAGTCTTGTTATTCCTTGGTTTAAAAATTATTTGAGTGGAAGAACTCAATGTGTACAGGCTGAAGGTAAACTATCTGAATAATTGGAGATTGCCAAAGGTGTTCCCCAAGGATCTGTGCTGGGGCCTCTTTTATTTACCATTTATATAAATAGTCTTGATTATGGCATTCAGGATGCTAAATTTCATTTTTATGCAGATGATTCTGTCATGTATTGCAGTGCTTCTTCTGGACAGCAAGCCTTGTATAAGCTTCAGTCAACTTTTGATGTCATTCAATTATGGCTTTACAATTTAAAACTGATAAAACCAAGTACATGCTATTTTCAAGTTCAAAGAAATTTGAAAATAATTTAATCTCTCTTCAAACTTTACAAGGTTCTGTGATTGAATTAGTAAAAGAGTATAAATATCTTGGCATTATTTATAGATTTTGGCTCTCATATTACCGAATTGAAGAAAAAACTGAAAATTAAGCTTGGGTTTTAATTTAGGAACAAGATTTGTCTTTCATTTAATGCAAGAAAGAAATTGGTTTCTGCTACTTGTGTGAGAGAGAGAGAGTGTGTGAGAGAGAGAGAGAGAGAGAGAGAGAGAGAGAGAGAGTGTGTGTGTGAGTGTGTGTGTGTGAGAGAGTGTGTGTGTGTGTGTGTGTGTGTGTGTGTGTGTGTGAGAGAGAGAGAG